TAAGTTTGCTTAAGAAAGAAGGAAAACAGATGAGAAAATCAGCTCAAAGGAAAAAAAAAACAAACCCTAAGGAAATTTATTTAAATAAATAGATTTCTTGGCTATGAAAGAAAAGAGATGTGACATGTCCCCAAATCCAACCTCCTCCATGTTCCTGTCTCCTGGGGAAGCAGCAGAGCATGAAAAATCCAAATACCTCCCCCAGAGCAAGAAATGCTCTGATATTATTATCAATATGCCCTTGCTGCATTAAATCATGTCTGTTCAGCCAGAACTTGCTTCATTTCACTCTTTCTTTCTCTTCCCCAATAAACGCATTTGAAAAGGAAGTTTGGATTATTTGTTAGCTCTTTCTTTTTCCATCCCAGTTCTTGCTGCTGCTATCTCTCCAACAGCTCTGGGCAATTTCTTTCCCTAGAGTAGAAGTTTCCTACATGGTCCACGTGGGCAGGAATCTCCAACCTGGCCCACCTTGCTAGAAGCAGGGGGCAGGACAGCCTGGGCATCTCTTCTTTGCCTCTTTGAGACCTGAACCAGGTAGCTTGGCAGCGGGGGTTCTTTCTTCATCTATAAATCGGAGACAAGAGCACCAGGTATTTAATTCATACAGGAAACAGTTCAGGAAAATGAAATGAAGTTGAAAGCAAGGGGGAAAAAAATCCTTGCAGGACTGCTGGAAGGATTAAATGCCATCACACAGATGAAGACACCTACTAGTAACAATAATTATTGCCCAATCATAATAACAGCAAGGTATTTGTTATCAGGCACCCACAGCAGCTCCATGCAAGATATTGGACTTTGCATATTTGATTTCACTTAATCCTCAAAACAACCCAAGACATAGGGACCATTTTTATCTGAATTTCCACACATGGAAGTGATGGCTCAGAGAAGTGAATTCACTTGCCAAAGGCCACACAGCAAGTACCCCACACAATACAAGAACATAGTAAGTACTTAATAAATTCTGTTTAAAGCTGAATGCATAGGTCAACTTCACACTAAGATGTCATCATCTCTTGACTGCCATAACCTCTAGAGACAGCTAACCTTGTTCTATTTTCAAGGAAGTACCATTTAAGATACCTGAGGGTGGCTTCTCCCCCCTATAAAACTTGTACCCATGGCCAGGTGTGGTGGCTCATGCCTGTAATCCCAGCACATTAGGAGGTTGAGGCAGGTGCATTACCTGAGGTCAGACGTTCGAGACCAGCCTGGCCAACATGGAGAAACCCTGTCTCTACCAAAAACACAAAAATTAGCCAGGCATGGTGACATGTGCTGTAATCTTAGCTAATGGGGAGGCTGAGGCAGAAGAATCTCTTGAACCCAGGAGGCAGAGGTTGCAGTGAGCCAAGATCGTGCCACTGCACTCCAGCCTGGGAGACAAGAGCAAAACTCCATCTCAAAAAAAAAAAAAAAAAAAAAAGCTTGTACTGTGTTCGCATCCACATGTTCATGAGGAGGAAACCAGAGCTACAAGGTAATTTATTTCAACAAAGAAATTCCCCCCTCTTCTTTGCTAATGGCTGCAGATGAAGCTACAGATGCAGCATCATCAACAAAAGTAGCAATTGACATTTGTCGAGCACATAGAATACAGCAGGGCTGAGCTGTGAGCTTTCATCTGCATTACCTCACTGCATCCTCAACACCACCATCTAAGGAAGATACAGGTATTGTTGCAGTGTTCCTGTTATGGAGACACACAGAGGTTAGGCCAGCAGCTGCCTGATGTCACAGGGCAAGCAGGAGGCAGGATGACAGCATTCCAATCTGCCCTTTCCAGAGCCCAAGAGAGTGGGGTGCTCCTTCAGGCCCAACGCCTCATCTCTAGCCCTTCCTACATCACCTCACTTCTCCTTACTCCTCACTTGGACTTTGATTATTTGATTTCACTTAATCCTCAAAACAACCCAAGAGGTAGGGACCGTTTTTATCTGAATTTCCACACATGGAAGTGATGGCTCAGAGAGGTGAATTCACTTGCCAAAGGCCACACAGCAAGTACCCCACACAATCCAGGAACACAATCCAGGACCCACGGTTGGCCTTGAGTCCAACCGACTCCTAGGCTATCAAGACATCCACCAGGCTTACCTAGGTATGGGCCAACGTGCTGCTGCCTGGGACAACAGTCACTGCATGTGATGGGTTCATGTCCCTTGAAAATCAGTCTGAACTCTTGAAGTCCACGGGCTTTCAGACAGACCTATCAGTGACCAGTGGGATGACCTCAGCCAAGCGACTTCTGCACAGCACCTGGACTCTCAACAAACACCCTGCCCTGCTTTCGCTCTTTTGGAGCCTTTGGGAAGTAGTATGCAGTGCTGATTTCATGCCAAGTTCCTGAGCGCAATGCGGGCTTCGTGACTTACCCATGCTGTGCAGCCTTTGCTGGCACCAGGCATCTCTCTGGACTCTATCTCCTCCCTTTTCACAAGGGACAAGGCAACTCATAGCTTAGGGAGTTGTAATAAAAATAAAAGGAAGTCATCCATGGGAATTCCTTCCACATGGTATGCCTAGTACATTGTAAACCTGGTGCAATGCTTTATACATAGTAGAGGAATGTTAAACATCTGTGCAGAGACCCCTGGGACAGGAGTGCATTTGGGGGTGGGGGTTGAGACAGGGTCAGGCTGGAGTACAGTGGCAAGATCACAGCTCACTGCAGCCTCGAACACCTGGGCTCAAGAGATCCTCCAACCTTGGCCTCCGGAATAGCTGGGACTACAGGTATACACCATCAAGCCCAGCTGATTTTTTTATTTTTTGCAGAGAAGGGGTCTTGCTACATTGCCCAGGCTAGTCTTGAACTTCGGCGTCAAGCAGTCTTCCTGCCTCAGGCTCCCAAGTCACTGGGATTACAAGTATGAGCCGCTGTTCCTGGCCATGGGTACATTTTAAATCCTCTTTTTCCACATTTATTGGTATCATGAATATTCAGAAAAGAGCATTGGACACTACACCCTTCCTTCATGAAGAAATCTATCAGTTCCTTCATTTCAACCTCTTTTTGACCCCACCCTGATATCATAATTCCCCTACTGTGATTTCCAAAGAAAATCAATCTGAACTGATTTCCAAAGAAATCACAGTATCTTGTCTTAGAACTGGCATCGCCTGGCCAGGCACAGTGGCTCACACCTGTAATCCCAGTACTTTGGGAGGCCGAGGCAGGTGGATCGCTTGAGCCCAGGAGTTCAAGACCAGCCTGGGTAACACGGTGAAACCCTGTCTCTACAAAAAAAAATTTTTAATTAAAAAAATTAGCCAGTTATGGTGTCATGCACCTCTAGTTCCAGCTATTCTAGGGTCTGAGTCAGGAGGATCGCTTGAGCCTGGGAGGCAAAAGTTGCAATGAGCCGAGGTCACGCTACTGGACTCCAGCCTGCCTGGGTGAGAAAGTGAGACTCTGTCTCAAANAAAAAAAAAAAAGAAAGAAAGAAAAAAGAAAAAAACCTGTAATCCCAGCACTACTTGGGAGGCCGAGATGGGCGGATCATCTGATGTCAGGAGTTTGAGACCAGCCTGGTCAGCATGGCAAAACCCCATCTCTACTAAAAATACAAAAATTAGCTGGGTACAGTGGCAGATGCCTGCAATCCCAGCTACTCAGAGGGCTGAGGCAGGAGAATCACTTGAACCTGGGAGGTGGAGGTTGCAGTGAGTTGAGATCGTGCCACTGCACTCCAGCCTGGGTGACAGAGCCAGAGTCCATCTCAAAAAACAAAACAAAACAAAATAAAAACCATGATCCAAAGTTAAAAGGAGTTTCACGTAAATTCTGCTTCTACCCTCTGGTCATTGGTACAGGAATGAAATAAAGTGGATGTACTTGAGTATGACTCTGTCCTTCTTCCCAAAATGCAAACAAAACAAGAACATCTTTCCCAGAGCACGTACATTACCGACTTCAATACTGAAGGTTTGCAGGCAACTTTTACATCACAAAATGGTCCAAAAAGATACTGGGGTGGGCGGTGGTAATTTTTTTTGAGCTATGATGATTTGAGTAAAAAAAGAAACCACCCTGAGTAGATTTGAGATTTGGCATTTGATGGGCAATCAAATAAAATAATCAACCTAGGAGGCAACAGAAGAAGCCCAAACAGAGCCTCTGAACTTAATGGAGCTGTTTATTCTCCTAGAAAACTTCCCCTGAACTTGCTCAGGCTGCATTAGGGCTCTTCCTCTGGGCTTCCCAAACGTTGTGCTTCCCCAGCCTGAGAAGACCAATGATAATCATACTGATAGTAATATATGATAATCATACTGATAAATAACATTGAGGACTTCCTACAGCATTTGAGCTGAGAGCCAAATAATGAAAAGAAGCTGACTCACAGAAAGAATACTGCAGGCAGAAGAAACAAATGCAAAAGTGGGAATTCGTGTTTTTATGTTCAAAGAATCCATAAAAGGTGTCACTGAGTTGATATAGGGATCAATGTGGTAATCGTAATAACAGTTAGAAGCTCTGGGGGTAAACCGGGGAGCTGTCTTCGAGGGCAGGAATGTGGTTACTGCTGGCAGCTCTCTGGCTGGGCATGAAAGTCGAATCTGAGACACAGAGTCCAGGGGAAAAGGGCTTACGGGCCATCCATCCTGTCCTCAGGCATTCTACAGACCAGGACACCAGGCTCAGTGAGGCCACATGGCTGATCCAGGTTCCCATAACCAGAGAAGGCGGGCAAAGCCATAACCCAGGCATCTTGCCTCCAGCCCTGAGCTCCGTCCACTGCTGCCTCCTTTCATGGGTGATCAGGAGCTGTTTATCTGCAAAACTGATGGAAGTTTAACAAGGTCCCTGGGGAGACAGGGAGCGATGGTGCACATATGTGTGTGCACGACGAGTTGGAGGGAGTGTGGTACATCATGGCTCCTCGCTTTCATCTGGTTCCTGTTAATTGGACTAAAGACCCCTGGGAAAACCATGCTCTGGGCATGATAAGCCAAACTCCAACTCAATTATTGTTTTCTGTGCTTTACAGAACCTCAGCGTTCACAAAATCTTCTGGCTTTCATCTGGCCTCAGAATACTGAAGTTGTCATCATCGCCATCATGATCATCCTTCTCCTCCTTAGAACCATGGCAGCTATGTTCCTGGAGCGCTTAGGATAAGTCCAGCCAGTGGCTCTCAGCCCGGAGTGATTTTGCCGAAGGGGACATTTGACAGTGTCTGTAGGCATTTTTGACTGTCACAACCAGGGGTTGGGGGGTTGGCTACCACTGGCATCTAGTGGGTAGAGGCCAGGGATGCTGCTAAACATCTTCCAAGGCATAGGACAGTACCCCACCACAATTTCCCAGCCCCAAACATCAATAGTGCCAAGGATAAGAAGCCCTTTTCATGCTGTAATTGAAGACCACCAAGAAAACCTCCTACCTGGGATCTGAAATCGAATGACTGACATTAGAAGGGATTCACAACGATCATAGTTCTTAAGCAAGGCTCCCTACCCTGCAGCCTCCAGACAGTCTGCAGTTAGGAAGTACCCTGTGTAAACCAACGGTCCCCTACGGAAAAGCCCTTTAGTCTAGAAACATCCCCACTCTTAGGGAATAGTCATATATTTCTATAAAAGACTATCGGGAAACTTTTCCCAACCTCTCAAATACGTCAAAAGAAGATTGTGACTGGGTGGTACCTTTTTTCTGCTCCAAAATACTAAAAGGGGTCAAAACACTGTGCTCTCTCCATAGGGCAGTCGCACCATCAAGTTTAGGGCTTGAAGGAAGTCACAGGCAATACACTCAGCTGTCCGTACCCATCATGGAGTGGATTTCAACAGCTCTGGAGACCCCTGACCATTCAGCCCCTGTGGAATCTGCCTTCCAGAAAGAGGCTGGAAGCAGAATAGGCAACACCACCACCATACTTATTAGGAAGCAGGGAGAGAAACCTTTCGCTTCACCATTCTCTTTGGGTGAGATTTTCAATTCACCCCAGCCAAAAGGAGCACAGCACAGTCTCGCCCAGATGGAAAGGTGGCCCCAGACAGAGGCACACATCACCTCCCTTAATACAACAATCCTAAAAGGCTCAGTATCATTAATGCCTGTTTCAAAGACAGAGATTCAGATAGGGAAGAGGCTGGGCGGTAGGCCAGGCAGGACTCACATCCCAGGCTCAGGAACTCACGTGCTTTCCTGACTGTGCCACAAACTAACCAGGGCAGCTGAATGAAGCAGCCAGGAGGCCCAGCCCGTGCCAACTGTGGCCCATGTCTTTTTTATCAATGCACCCCAGTGCAGGGAATGTGGCAAGCCCTAACACTGATTTCAACTGAAGCAAGTCCAGCCACTTCCCACTTCTTATCATGGCCGTTCTTTAGACAGCCTCTCTGAGGGTTCTTATGCAGCTGGAGGTGCCCCAAACAGGGCCCCAAGCTCTTTCCGGATGTCTCCCAAGGGAATGAAGCCACTGCCTAGAGTTCTCCCTGTCTCTTTGGAGCTCTCATTGCATCTCCACTAGTTATTATTTGGAGGCTGCCCTTCAATGATCCTTCTTTACAGTTCATTTTCTTCTCTTCATTGGTTTGCAGTGTGGCAGAAAGACCAACAACGCGAGAGCATCCATGACATGAACGTGGAAGGAAGGTTAGTGGCAGCAAGGCCCCGTCGGAGCAGGCTGCTCCCACAGATGCCTCTGCCGAGGCAGCCGGGAAAGAAACTCCCGGAAAGAAACCCAAGGTCTCCCCTGGCTTCTGGCCTGCCATCTGAGAATGCTCGGTCTGTGAAACACAATTAAGCCCGCATTAGTCCCTGCTGTAACTGGGTCAAGCCCTTCTCCTCTCTGAGACTCAGTTTATCCTTACTCGAAAGTTGAGATGATTAGACCGAGGTTCCTTCCAGTTTGTACATTACTGTGCATCTTTTGCAAATTTCAAGTCTATTTTGACGTCTCCGCTAAAGGAAGCTTATCGGGCAGCGTCCCCTGGTGGCCAAACATGACACTGCACCATCGAGAAGCTGCCCCGGTCTCTGATGGTGTCCAAGAAAATAATCTAGGAGGAAAAGGCATCCAAGTATCTACAGCCAAGCAGCTATGTGCCCCTAATTTCTTCAAGCAAGGAGCCTAGGGTTGAAAGCAACAATACAGCCCTGCCTCTCAGTTCCTCCACCCTCTGTGATCATGAAGACACAAGGTCTTTAGAAGGTAGAGCTTGAAAAATAATCTGTCAGTCCCAGTCACTAAGAGCATCCTCGTATCCGATTACAAAGCTTGTCCGCCTCATTTCTCCTCCACAAAGTATCAGACAGAGAAGGAAAAAAACAAAAGTGCTAAAGAAAGAAAATGGTCAGACGATGAAGCTAAACTGGGTTGCTCAAAGCAACAGGTTCTCTGTGTTGGGGAAGGAGGAGCACTTAGGATTTCCTGTTTGACGAGTGAAGTCAGTGGGGGAAATGTGGGGTGTAGAGCAACGCCACATTTCAGAATCCATCAGGATGGCGGTCACACTCACCTGAAGAGATCCACAGATTCCTACACAGGAGTGATCTTCAGAGAGTACCATCCAGACAGCATCTGTGTACTGCACTCCAGAGACCAGATGTGGTCCCTACTCCCCAAAGGACTCAGTCTGATGCACAACAGACCTAAAAAGTCAGCACGAAGGACTATGCAGGATGAAAGCATGTGTTTTGGGTGAAACTGACGTGGGTTTGAGCACAGGCTCTACCAGGTACTAGCTGTGTGACCCTAAGCAACTTACTTACCCTCTCTGGGCACATGCCTCCTTCCTGCACTTTCTGCCTTCCCCTGAGCATTTACTATGGGAAGTTCTTGATAAATTACAGCCCTCTATACATGTTGTACCACTTGTGCAAATATTCATTCACCCGCCCCCCACTACAGAGTTTTCCACAGTCAATGCCTCCCCAGCCTCCAAAAGGAAGTTCTTTTTTACATCACACCAAAATCTCCCATGATTTAGACATGTATGTATTTGATTCAGACATGTATGTATTTGACACTCACCATTTCTAGCTTGGTCTTTTACAAAAACAGTTAGCAAATGTTTTCTCTAACAAGCTAGACAGGCTTTGTGGGTCATGTGGTCTCTGTCACACTACCCAGCTCTGATGTTGCAGCATGAAAACAGCCATAGACAAAGTGGAAACAAATAGATATGGCAGTGTTCCAATAAAACTTTATTTACAAAAGCAGGTGGCGGGCTGACTTTGGTCCATAGGCTATACTTGGTCAACTCCTGCCTTAAGAGAGAAAATCTCTCATCTGATCATTATCCCTCCCACACAATCTCATCCCTGATACACAGACAGAAACTGCTTTGCCCTCAGTTCTCTCCCCTAGGGCAAATCTATAAATGCTTCAACCTTCTCCTTCAAGGGCATAATTTCTGTGATTAGATTATAACAGTTCATTTGTTCGTTAATTCACTCAATGATACTTTTGCAACTGTGCTAAGTAGCTTGTAGGAAACTAACAAAGTGCTGCATTTAGAGTATATGGTCTGGAATCAGCCCAAGCTCAAGTGCTGGTGCCCTGCAATTTACCAGCCATGTGACCTTGGCTGAGTATTGTGGTTCACCCCTTTGTGCCTTCATTCTCTTATGTGAAAACTGGGGAGTACGAAAGTCCCTATCTCATGGAGATATCTGACGATTAAGTGAAATAACCCTTAAAATCAGCTCAGAACAACACCTGACAGTATGCTTTTAATATTTAATCATTATTATCTTGGTTATTAAAGATGGCCCTTGCTAGTTAGGAATTTCCAATCTAATATGGGAGATTTAGATATCAAAGCAACTACAAAATAACTGCCTAATGACTATGGCACAAGATCGACGCAGGTGCAGTCCGGGAAGTCTTCCCGGCAGTGTCAGGAGTTGCCTAAGCCATGGGAAGATTTACTTTAGGAGGATGCAGCCCAGAAAGTTTTTCCTTTTGAACAGCTGCAAAGGGGCAGTGAGTCAGTGAGAAAACCACTGAAATCTGGGAGGTCAGAGCATCCCGCCCGACCAGGCACCAGCTGCAGAAAAGAAAGCATCACAATACAGATGAAAGTAAGCAGCGTTCCGAAAGGATTCTTTTCCTTCAGACTTTCTCATGTAAGTCACACACTACTTATTTGTTGCCCAGAAAGACAGAAAATGCAAAGAGCAAAAGAGAAAAAAACATCGCCCTTAAACAAAGAACAACTATGCTAAATATCCAAGTGGAGTTCCTTTCAGACTTTTTTCCCCATTTTATTTATTTTTATTTTATTTTATATTTTTTTGAGATAGAGTCTCCCTCTGTCACCCAGGCTGGAGTACAATGGCGTGATTTCAGCCGTCTGCAGACTCTGCCTCTCGGGTTCAAGCCATTTTCCTGCCTCAGCCCTCCAAGTAGCAGAGACTACAGGTGCACACCACCATGCCTAGCTAATTTTTGTATTTTTAGTAAAGATAGGGTTTCACCATATTGTCCAGACTGGTCTTGAACTCCTGACCCCAGGTGATCCAGCTGCATCAGCCTCCCAAAGTGCTGGGATTACAGGCATAAGCTACTACCCCTGGCCTATTTCTTTTTTCCTTTTTTTTTTTTTTTTTT